TTGAACTTTGATTACAAATATTAATTTAGTCTTTCAATTTTAATGTCATAATAGTAAAATATGATAATTTGATTTTACATGTCATTAACATTTTAAAAAAGAACTAATTTTATGACAAAAAAGCAAGTCACGTGATATTTTTATTAATAGAAAGACTATTTTAGCATTAAAAATTAAAGTTTAAGGATAATTTTAGTATTTTTTGAAGTATAATGACAATTTTGATATAAATCTAAAAGTTAAGGGACTAAATTGATATTTTGACCTCAAGTCTTTCCACAGACCTGCACTTTTTTTCTACCTGAAAATCCACTTCCTACTTGATGATACTGCATATCAGCATATATGTGGTGGACTCTTGACAGCAATCAACTGGTATTTTTCATGAGAACATAATCACATCAAACAATACAAAGTGGAATTAAACAAAGGCTACATTTTCTTACTCTTCTGCATAATTGGGGCGTGAGGATGCATAACAAAACCGGTTAAGTAGGCTTCTATGCCATGAATGATCTCAAGTCAACAACTACAGCAGCTATCTAAAACACAAGATAGATTGTACTAACCTGATGTTACTCAGAAATGACAGACTGTGCTTCTAGCGAGGCTGCTGACTTGTCTGTGAGGATGAAGCCACAAGCTATGAACTACCAGATTCATCAGTGCTAAAACTCAAGGACTTGTTGATGCTGCTACCAGAACGTGACAAGTTTTTGACTACCTTATCTTTTACAGATTGTGAATGAACATGCTTACGCAATCCATCTCGGCCTGCTGGATTTGGAGAAAATAAATTCATCTGTCTTTACTAACACAACCAAAATCATTATCCTTTCTAAATGAAATTATGACAGCTGCTACAGCTTGTTCTTATTTCACATGGACCATGGAGACGTGAATATCTATAGTTGTCCTGCTTACTTCCCGAGCCCTCTTGCTACGGCGCCAGGCTGAAGAAAGACGTGCAGCTGCTTGGTTGCGTATAGCATCCCAATTGCGTTTCATGTCCCTAGCTTGGAGGGCAAAGGCTTCCACTTTAGTAAGGGTTTGAATGGATCTGCTTGAGACGGGGAGAGGCTGTGAGTTGGAATCCTGAACCCATTCTACAAGTTCCTCTCCACAAAAATCACCATCTTTTAAGTGAACTATTTCATTACTGCTGCTGCTGGAGACTTGTAATTTGCCTTCAACAATAAATAGCATCTCATTAACTCTGTCTCCTGTCTCAATAAGGTGACTGTGCTCGATAAATAGTACTGGTCTGACACAAAAACACAGTGCATCCAACAGTTTTTCTCCCTTCGAACAAAATGACTTCACCTTAATACATAAACAATTAGAACGAGAACAACAATCATAAGAAGGTCATTGCAGAAATTCTTAAACTAAGAAAAAAAGGCGGCAAAATTCTTGCATGGACAGAAGGAGCTCACTTTTTTGAGCAGCGTTAGACAGAGCTCCCTCTTGATATCTTTCGTTAATTCCTTGGGAAGATTTTGTAGCTGCTTCTCTACATTAACACCTCTGGTGTGATGCCATGTGTACTGCTGATGTTCATTTACTTTCCTCCGAAGTTTACGAGGAAGCTTTTTGAAGGGTTTCCATTGCTTTATTTCTCTTGTGGCCAAACGCATCTCCTCTAATTTCATAGTTTTAGACTGAAGATAAATCTGTTTCACAAAGTACAAAAGTTCATGTGGCAGACTTGGTATCCCTACATCTTTCCTAAAGTAAGGCTCTAGATCAAACATAATGTAGAAAAAGGATTTAAACCCCCCATAGTTTAGTACAGTACTATCCTACATCATTATTGCTACAGCACCATTAATCCGAAGGACAAATGATGCTTTGAGAATTGAAAGGGTCAATGATAGCATGTTACTAACGTACAGTAGACGCAGAGTAGTACATGAAAGTGGTCCATTCCCCAGATGCATAATTCAATGAAATGAAGGTGAACTGTGTCCTTTCAAGTTTCAACTCAGAAGTTGTCTTCAATATTAACTCAAATAATTAACTAAATTAATAGCAGAACATATGACACCAACCTGCACATTTCCGATAAGAAACAAGAATAGCACCAAGCCAAAGATTATAATGAACACTGCAAAGCAGTTCTCCCAGACATATGCACTTGTTTGTAGATTTTGGCCAAACGAACTGCAAAAATGGCATCAAATAAAGCTGTTTAGATGAAAACCTATGAAACATTAACTTGTCCATTAAATAAGAATATCTTTAATCACCTACAATCATAAAACAGAATCAAGAATTGGATATGCCACTGAAAACTAAGGGGAACATCCACAAAAAAAGAACCTGTTAAAGACTAAAATGACTGCCAGACCTTTATAGTTAATGATTATTAATGAAGAATATTAGATGAGCTTAAGGAGGATATCTGCCTTAGCTAGCAGATCCAATGGCTTGGGAAGGTAATGTTAATTGCCATTTGCAACAACTTATTTCGTGGACCATATTTCCCACCATGTTTAATGGCTCTATATGTCCATGTCTGAGAGTCTTCCAGCACCAGCGAATTGCCAAGAAAGGATGCAACAAGCATGAGCATGAATAAATGGGTATTTTTGACAACGCCAAAACATTCAACTGAACTGCATTCAATTCTTCTTAGGTTCGTTTGCAATGGGATAATCAAATTACGGAAACAAGATAGAAGACGTACTAAACAAGAGAGCAAGCATACAATGATGAGTTCAGGGATTATGCAACTAATGAAAATTACCATAAAGCTCAAAAAAAGGAAAAGAAAAAAGAACTCAAGAGAAAAATATGGGACAAACCTCAGATTTTGTATACCCCAACGAAAACAATGAAAAAACTTCGGCCAGAAATCTGTCACCTTCACTATCCGGGACTGTAGAGCATAAAGATATATTCCAAAATCAAAGAGCTCGGTGTTGGGTGAACTTATAGGGCATACATCATTTAGAAATGTGTGATTTCCGCGATTGAAATCACAATAAAATGATTCACTGACACATCCAGTCTGATTTCCACAAGCTTTAAGCCAACATGTAGCTTCTCGTTCTATAGCGAAGAAGTACCATGCAGCTCCAACCACCTAAAAAATTTGCAAGTCACTTGATGATTCCAATGATTAAAAGCCATTAAGAATATCTCAGGATATACAAATAAAGGGGCCTTTAAGCTTTATTTGCCAAATAAGCTTTTAAAAATTAAATGCTGGTGAAGCATTGGACAGAACTCCTTAGATCAATACAATGTCTAGGAAGAAGAAGCTTCTAGGAAGTAGGTCATGTGCATTCTTGGACTTGCAGTTATCAACCATTGATGAGTAATTAGTTACTAATAACTGAAACAGATAAATCATTGCCAATTAAAATAATATAAAAGGTGGTCACATATAAAAATTCCATATGGCTGGAAAAATGAGTGCAAGTCAACTTACATGACCTGCAAGGATGTAAAGCAAGAGATTGAATGCAGCATTCACCCATGCAGCTTCAGAAAGTATGCCAGGAGAACTTTTGTGCCTCTTAAACAATGGATAAATCCGAAGAACCCTTGGTATGTATTGCAAGATAACGACAGATTTCAACACACCCATGGCATCCAAAAATCTCAACCGTTTCATTGTTGGAATAATAAGTAAAATCACCACCTGAATAGTTAAACTTTAAGGTAAGCATCAGTGATTAAGTTCTAAAGCATCTGACTAAGTTTAACTGACAAGTGACATTGGCACTACCATCACTAACAAGACAGCTGAAACAAACAAGCCCATGATGTAAACAACAAAAACAGGATGATGATAGACTATAAGCAGAGTAACAAACAACTGACTATTATACTATGTTAAAACATTCAACCTTTTTTTTTTTTTTTGGGTCCAAAAAACCATTTAACTAAACCAATCAGCTATAGCCTACAGTTCAAAGGACCTAATTAACCTCAAAACAAGGTCACAAGAAACAATAAATTTAAACAGCATGGAAGATCACACTACTGAACGTAATTATATATGTAGGGAAAATTTTAACTAACAACAATCAACAAATAAAGTCAATCATGATGCAAAGAAAGCTTGTTTTAACAAAAGTCACTAACCACTAACCTGTGGAAGGGGAAGAACTGCAAGTATGTCAATGGGAAAGAACCATGACAACAAATATCTCCTCACTATTTTCCAGCAATTTCTGCCCCTATTATCTCTTATATGTAAAAGAGGAGCAAAAAGATCAGTCTGAAGTCGACAAGCAATGCATATAATATAAAAGCAATCAATAACCGAACGCAGAACAATTGCTGTAATCCCCAATTTGGTGTCCAAAAAAAGGCACTTGTTATCTTCATTGACCACAATGATGTAGAAAAACACAGGATCAAGTGAGAGCGCAATTACAGTTGATAGTAGAAATAACCTATTCCATTGTTCACAGTAGGATCCGAGCGGATTAAGAATGCTCTTAATTCCCTTAATAACTTTGTCAAGACACCTTTCACTATTTTCGGACATTGTCACTGCTTTCCCTTCCAATTCCAATCCGCAAACCTGAAGAACACATAAGTAGCAGAAAAAGAATACCCATCAATAATAGCATGGCACAATGTTAAGGCTGATGTCTAAAATAGCACATAATCCTTTTTTTTTTCTGGTACATGTTATGTATCCTCCCCCCACCCATCTCAACTTCAAACCTGAAAGTTTCAATTTAGGGTCTCAATTGCCAGTTAATTAAGACACTCATTGGTCAAAAGAAATGGGCAAAAACTCCAAATCTGTCATTCAAATAGGAGAGTAAGCATAAATCCTTTATTTAAAAAAATATAGAAATAAATTATTTTTTAAAAATTATTGATTAAAATAAACTATTTATTATCTAATGTGTAACATTATTATATATTAACTTCTTGCTAAAAAATGCTTAAGTGATAAATAAATTTTTGACTTATGATAATATTACATGTTAAATAATAAATAATTTATTTTAATTGATAATTTAAAGAAAAATTTATCTATACTTTTTTTTAAGAATGAATTTATCTATAACCTTTTATATGCTATTATTTGAAAAAGTAGATTTAAGGGTTTTGTCAAAGAAATACACACATCCATTCATGCATGCATACGTAAAGTAATACTTACTCATCGGGGTCAAAAGAATTAGTGACGTAATAATTTATTAATAAAATTTTATATTTATTTTTAATTAAAAAATATTTAAATTTTTTTATTAAAATTATTTTTTAAAAATAAAATAAAAAATACATTAAATAGTATCTTAAATAAAAAAAATAAACAATTAAATTAAAAACAAGATCTGTTAAAGTTCTATAAGGGAGAGTATAAATTTTTTATTTTATAAAAATACTAATATGAATAATTACTCATTACTATAATAACCAGTTTCTTTTTTCTTTTTTTTTTTTTGTAAAATAAAAAATGAATGAATGGTACATATGTATTCTGCTTGCTACAAGATGGAGGGGCCAAATTCATGGTAAAAATGTGTACCTGTTGTTTTAATGGACTGATACTTGAAGGCTTTTTGATAGATGAAGCAAAGAAGAGAGAGAAAAACCAGAAGCCTGGAGAAAGTAACAAGCAGTGGCAAACTGCTTGTCAAATGAAAAGGGCAAAGAAAGCTGTTGAAAAGAAGTTTGTTGGGTAAAGTTCGCTGGATGCTGCTGCTGCTGCTTGCTGCCAAGGAACATAGACGTTTTTCTTTGAGGAAAAGAGCATAGACTTTTAAATTTTTAATGACCAAGACACTGGAAGTCAAAATAGAGAAACCAACTCTCTTGTCTCTTTTTAGAATTTGAAGATGGATTTACCTATCACAGGTAAGAAGCAATGATTGAGTAATTATTGATTAATAATTATTATTTTTTATTTTAATAGTGATGATGTTGATTTTTATTTTAATAGTAGATGCCATGTATTAAATTTTTATTAGTTTATTTTAAATTAAAAAACAAAAATTATCTTTTTAATTTAAAATTTTCACATTTAAAAAAAAAATACAACAACTATTATCTCTTATTTTGTTTCTTTTTAAGGTATAAGATAAATAAATTTTTGAAGATAAGGATCCTAAAACTCCACTTAAAAATACTCAATAATAATTTTTTAAAGCCCAAATTTTGCTGAACTTAAGGCCAATAACCCAACATATGAACAACCCACCAAACAAATCCTTCAGCCCATAATCAACTCCACCTTCTCCACCACAATTTTAACCGCCGCAACTAGCATACATTGCTCTACAATCCTTGACCGCCCACTAAGCCACCCATTTCTTATTTATTTAATTAATAATCCTAAGAATTTCCAATTATTCTAAAAATCCCCATCCCAAGTTTTTCGTTTGCGCGAGCAATTCCCAATTTTCAATTTCCAATTTCCAAATCCCTATCTGCAGTTCTATATTTGTGCTAGCAATCCACAATAAGGGTTGATAGTTAAAGCGAAAACTAGTTGTAGCTTCCTTTTTCGAACTCCAATCTAACGACCTAATCTGCCAATTCAATCACTATCATTTGGCCGAGTACTTCTCCATCCTCCTTTGACGGTTATCCCTACAAACTGATCAAAACTCCCCATAATTTCCTACTCTACAAGCGTTGACAATTGGACGGTTCGACTCCACTCCAAGTGCTTTCCCAATCCTTTATAAATACTCTTCTTCTTTCTTTGCAGAAATCTTTTACATTTTTCTCAACTATTATGCCACC